AGATAAAAGTAATTATAGTATAAACAAAATATAATATTGTTCACGTCTTAATCATTATTCATTATTTAGTGAAGTTTGATACTACATAATTTTGAACTATATATTGTAATTTGTAATAAAATGTGACGTAGCATATTTTTGCTTACTATTACTTTAAAAGTTTAAAACACTTCTTACGATGTAACATGATACAATTAGACAATGGTGGGTCTATTTATTTATATTAATTAAAACTGACTGTTTCACAATTTTATCTCATTCACTCATTCTTCATTAATTTTTTCATTAATTTAGAGTATCCATGATTTTTGAAAGTTTATTCCCCGTTTCTTCGTATTTGTATTAGCAAAGTCATAGGGTTGTTTTAAAAATAAAATTACAATATACATTTTACCTAAATTTTAATTATTTAATAAATAAAATAAAAAATAACTAAGTACTAACCTACTATACATTTATTGAGAAATATGCATGTATACATTTCAGCATTATTATCTGCATAATATTATATATAATGCATATAGATTTTTAATCGGAATTCTTTGAGTATAACATGTACGAGTTTTTGATTTATAATTTTATGTTTAGTTACTATAGTTTTAAAGTACATCTTTAGACCCATTACTCATCAGCACACCTTCTCATAATATCCATAAGCATATAACTCCAGCCATGCTTTCCCACATAACTCATCCTTCATTACTTAATTACTTTGGTAAAATTGTAGAGATGTTAGAATTCTCTAAAATAACTCTTATTTTAAAGGTTTTGTTTAAATTTACGTTTGTATTCAGTTCTTGCAGGTGTTTCAAATTGCGACAGAGATTAAAAAAAAAATCATTATCTGTTGCAATATTGCATTAGGAAATTCTTATTTATTCTACTTACTACTTCAAATAGTTGTCGAGCTGATTTATCTTTTATCAGTGAACAAGGTCATCGTGCGACTAGTTTACATCGTGGAATTTGTCGTATTGTGATGATCAGCTCGTTTTCAATTTATGGTATCAATTAAATTTGTTTTTGTTTTTAATTTTTGGATTTCCCTATAACACTTAGGCCTAATACACATATTACTTATTATATCCATAATTTTCTAAAATTGTTTCATGACTAAATAAATAATATTTAAAGCTATATTTAATTAATTATGACTTATGAACTATATGCCTGTATACCTATAGGCTATAGGTACCTACCATAGTTATCGTGTAGAGTTAACGAAACTAAACGATTGTTAAATTAAATATACTTAAAGTTAGGATGATACTTACCTAATTAAACCAGTGTGCTTTTAGTTTATTTTGTTTACTTTTCTAATACAATTGGTTATTGGCTAGATACCTACTACATCCAACTGTTTACAGCTGTTGCCGAAAAGTAATTAATCGTAATTATTGAAATTATGTCACAAATTCGCTTGAATGCATTCGTGGTTTTAAAATATATGCTGAAAAGTTATTAAATGCTATTAATTTATATAAAGCCGATTACTGTTTTCGGAATCGTTGTCGACCTCCTGAACCACCGAGTACGTTGTATTGATAAGCCAAGGTGGGTAAATTAATAAAAAACATTTAACTCAAGTTAGTTAAGTTAAGTCAATGTACAGAACGTTTAGCAATCAGTTAATAGTTAACAAATAATACATTTAACTATTTAAATTTAAAGTGAATATGGAGACTATTATTAACTTAAAATAGGTTAAAAAGAGGTTAAATAAATTATTTTAATTACCACAAGTGTTACACATAGTGATCGTGCAACTTTCAATTTTTTTTATAAGTTATAACTTATAACTAATATTTTGTTGAAAACACATCCTACACTTTGTAGTTTTTGTAATAATCTTTTTTATTGAAAACTAGCTATTATACAATATTTTTGGCAATTATTACAGGTTTTTTATAAGCTAAATTATTAAATTAAGGAATATTTGTATTTCAAATTCATTTAATGCAAATGTAATTAAACAATAAATATAATAAGTTAATCAGTCTTAACTGCAGTTACTCATAATAATTTGCTTTAACACAATTTTAACTTAACGTATTATTTTTTAAATTAACTGGATAAAGCCTAGATGTTACTTTCGATTATTTAACTAATTAAGTTACTAATTTCATAATTACATTAACTCACTAACTAGTTAAGTTCAAAAATGCTTTCTGGTTAATGCCCAGCTTTGTTGTTGAGTACAAAAGTCAGCTGTGACAAAATATAAAAGCTATTTTACGTCAGCGTTAGGTGTTGGACTCAACTGTATAAATCCGTGCAAAACATTTCAGTTTAATAACTCCCTTGGACACGTGATACTTGATATGACCTAGATTATTGAAATTATGTAAAATGATTAGCGCCTTGGGCAACCCAATTGCCACCTATTCGCCCACGATAAGCGTATGAATGCAAAAGAAAGTTAACTAATGGTATTTTTCAAAATATATATTTTTTCTAATTGTATGTATGAATATGTTAAGTTGTATGGTACTATAATATGTTTAGTTACTTGCTTGATTGTGATATCGATCATTCATAATCAGAAAAATACGTATACTCTGGTTTCTTATGAGATTTTGTCTTACAATATTGTACAATTTAAATGTTTTATGGATTGGAAAATTTTACTCTAGGAATTATTATGTTAACTTTAACATTTTTTATTAGATGAATTTATGTTTTTTTTGCATATTTTCTAATTATCCGCAAAATGTCACGCACAAATGATAAATTTAACGAGGTTTTACCTTGAAAATTACAATAAATGAAAATTTGATGGTATTTTTGCGTGTTTTTTAGGCAACTGTTTGGTGAATTCAGTAATGGGAAACCATGTATCCCAAGGGTCTGTAATAGTTTATACTACAAGAATTACGTTATTATTTACCCACCACGAGGATTGTTGTGTTATGTTCTATACAATATGTATATTATTATCAGTATTAAAAGGTTATTAGTTATTCTACTGCCATTAGAAAGGAATGAATATAATAACATATCTTTTAGAGCAAACATTAATTGTTTCGTTTGAATGAAAATAACAGATTATTACCTTATGTTTGGTAGAAACTACTTTACTGATCGATAACTATAATTAAACATTCATGCAAAATCCTATCGTTTCTTAATTCATAAGCATTAAACTAGGTACTTAAATTATTAAGGTTTTATACCAGACATTATGAAAGCCATTACATAAAATGACTTCAAGTACTTGTTTATCAAAATAAAATAAAATATTATTCTTTTAACTGCAGTTAATACTGTTAAAAAAAAAATTGTGTAACATAAGTTATCTTATAGAAGCAATTGAGATTTATTTCTACAATTAACGGTAAATTCAACACACATAAGACACCATTTAAAATAGGTTTTTTGATCACACCTAAAATATTTGAACTTGAAATAATTGTCGCATAATGTTTTGTGTATTTGCGAATAATAATATTATAAATTATTCATTACATGATAATAACAGACGTATATCTTGTAAGTTAAAAGTTATGATGATTTGCTTGTATTTTCTGGCTTCATCCACATAGTTGTACTCCGGTACACAAAATTAAGACTACCTAAACGTAAGTATATAGTTTAAAGTTTGAACGCAGATAAATGTTATGTTACGTTACGTTTAAATGCTATAATTTATAGCTTAAGAGCGTTTCATGACCTTCTAATATGCTGTATTAATACAATTTTATTCAATAAAAAAAATTACGATATTACGCGTGTCCTCTTTGACTCACGATGAAAATGTAGGCGAAACGATACACGTGAAAATTATTACAAAAACCTTTCGCTTACGTATTGTTAAAAAATTAGACTTTTTCCCGTGTGCGTCTTATTAAAATGGTATTTACCATTTACCATAGTATTGTACAAGTTACAGCAGTTAATAGTAAATTACTTTGAAATTCTGTACGAAGTATAATACTAATTATGAATAACAGTGATTACTATCTCTGTATTTTATTTTTTTTTATCGGTTTATGTTTTGCACTTGCAAGAGTTACAATCTCTAATTGCCACATTTGCGTCGAATTTTTCGCTTAAGATACACTTTACACACACACACACACACACACACACACACAAACACACACACATTCGACTCAATAACATCGAAATATGATTTAGGGTGACGGGTATATCCATAATCATGCGAGTTCAACAAAAATATCAATTGAGAATACATTTTGAGCTGCGTTATATAACACGTTTGCACAACATAATTAAATTATTGTTTAACGTCGCGTTTATATTGAATAAATGTACTATATCGTCTCCGGCGCGGCAGTGCAGTGTATGGAATAATATAACAATATAATAATTAATATCGTCATGGTGTCATATATTATATTATTAATATTGAGTGGAGCGGCGAACAGAATTATTATCATCGTTACATCACCGTGGGAAATCGAAGTGATCCACATGCGCACACACACACACAAGTAAAAAACACGCTCTCGGCCGCGCTCGCGACTACCATTATATATTATTATTATTATTAAATATTTCACAATGCATACTATTATTTAGACTATACTCGGAATATTTGTAAAACGTTGACGACCACGGCAATAACTTGACGAGTTACATATTTTATTATTATTATATCGTTATTTTATTATTACACATCAATAAAACAACGAAAAAAATGTTATGACGTCGTGCGCGATGTCGAAAATCAAAAATGGTTTCCGTCGTCGTCGCGTTATTGTGATAATAGTAATAATATTAATAATAATTTTATATTATTATAATCGTAATAGTTGTTTGCCACACTGCAGCAGCTGTTGGCTGGCGGGCGGATCGCCGCCGCCGCCACCGCCGTCTCAGCGACCGAGCGCGCGCGCGGTGTGCCGCCTTGGTAACACCGCGGCGGCGTGCTGCTATGGTGGCGCGCGCGTTATCAGCGGCGGCGGCGGCGGCGGCGAGTCCGTACGACGACCGACCGACCGACTGCTCGAAGGCGGCGTCGGCGGCGGGCGGCAGCAGCAGCAGTCCGTTTCCACACACGCTGTGTGTTGTAGTCGGTGTGTGTGTTTATCTCGCGTCACGTTTATTGTGTGAACCGTTCGCGGGCGGCGCTCGCGCTCTGACGCAGTTATTACCGTGTGTGTGTGCATGCGTGTTGGTTCGCGTGACACAATTTGCGTGCACTAAGACCCCATCAGCCGACGCTGTGAGTTTCCGTCGGCCGCGGGCATCAGTGGCAAACTGGGCACCGGCGTGCGCGCGTTTAAAATTTTGTCGACCGATCGTCGACCGTTTTTTAATTCGATAAGAGATAGACATACACTCTGCGCGTGTGTGTCTCCGTGCCTCGTTTTGTTTTTTGTTTCAAATTATATATATTTTTCTTCCGGACTTCGACGGGACGACTTCATCTGACGTCGTCACGAATGACCGAGGTGTTATGAAATCGGGCGGACGTGTGTCCGTCGATACGTTTGTAGTTGTGTGAGTCCTACGTCGGGCCCTCGCACCGACCTCTACGCATCGAACGCCACCCATCAACCGCCACACCCGTGTGTCGTTATCTTGTCGCTGGTGTTGTCTTACGGTGGTGCGACGATGATGGACGACGACGACGATTACAGCAAGACATGCGGTCCCGTGTTGGACCGCCGAAACCCGGTGAACCTGGACGAGCTGTTCGTGCCGCTCGGTACCAAGTCCAAGGAATGCGACAACCTACTGGCCGTGGCCGAGGAGGTTTCCGGGGACGAAGACGACTTGGCCGTCGTTGAGACGGTTGCCGCCAAGGCCACGAGCTTGGTGAATGACATCAACACTAGATTTTCCAACGATTGCACGCAGACCGTCGGACCGTACTTGGACATGGCCGACCCGTCGCGCAAGGTCAGCGTCCGTGACCTGTTTAAACCTCTGGACTTTAAGTCCAAAGAGGTGCAAAACTTGGCCGAAGAACGGTCGTCGGACGACGACGAAGATGACCACCACAACGCTGAGGGCGGTGGTGACTACCAGACGACCAGTGCAGAACACGACCAACAGCAGACCCAGACCTGTGGGCCCGTTCTCATCGACAGTAGTAGCTACATCAACTCGCCGGCCAAACAGCAATTGGAACGGATTTTCGATCAAAATCCGGAAGAGGTATTAACCCGTACGACATTACACGAATAGACTCGTTGGAAATTATATATATTGTTGTGGTTTGGGAGACAAATTCCCCCCCCCCCGCCTCTCACAAAAATTAATTTTTTCCCCGTTAATTACCTAAACCACGACAACTCCGTCCCGTTAATGATAATATTAATAATAATAAAGCGTCATATTATTGAAGACGACGACGGCGTGGTGTTGACCCTTTGCCCCTACCATCTCACCAGGACGGAACTCTTAGTTGCTTTTTTAGTCAGTAGCTAAAGTAGTTGTGAAGTAGTATAACAGTTGAAGTAATACAGTTAACATTATTCCGAGCTTCGAGTTCAAGCGTAATTTTCCAAGCCGTTGAGTTTTGCAGTAATACGATATTTATAGTATTGCAAAGTTGACGCTCAACGTCGTCCATAAAGACACATTTCGAGATCACTAAGGAGAAACACTAATACCGTCGCCACCAACGTTGTTGTGACACTCAAATCTTATAATAAAAAAAATACCGACGGCATATTATACGTTCTCTTTTGCACATTCACGGTATATGATCGTGCCTGGCTATCTCTCGTGACAATATCTTCGGCTAATCGTTAGCCGTCATAATTCACTCGAAAACTTGAGCTATCGAGATACCGTAACTCTCGGCATTAAACGAAATTATAATACCCGCGTAACACCGGTAGTCAAGCTCTGCGGCCTTGGACGTCATTATCTACTAATTATGACACCTGCTGTATTATTCGTTTGAAACCGTTTCGACGCGCGTACAATACAAAATACAATAGTACAATACCTCTATGTACATAATGTATGTGTAATCGGGGCAATGAAATAAATAGTACAATATTGTTATGCGTATATCACGGTCGACGGTATTGTTTTTGTATTTCGAGCCAGCTATGTTGTCGTCGTCGGTGGCGGCGGCGGCTCGTGTGACCACTTGTTTCCAACGAGTCTATAATGTGTGTTGCCATACGCACCATTATAAAATAATAGCACATGTATTGACGTGTGCGATTGCGCGATCGCATCGAAACACACGATGTGTATATTGACCACGTGTATTTCCGGTTAGGGTAACGATGATCGTGAAAAGGAACAACAACAACAGATGCAGGATGAGCTGCCGCGACCACCATCACAGCTGGACGGTGCCGACGGAAACGCCGCCCAATCGTCGGCCGAAGACGACGACGATGGCGACGATGAAGACGGTGGATTACAGCGGCCACCTGCTAACCCCGACCACGGTATATTGACCACCAAGGACGGCACACCGCTGATCCGGTTACGGAGTAAAAAGTCCATAATGGAATCGAGGTTCAAGCTCACCATGCGCACGTGGGACGATGTGTGGAAGTCGACGGCTTGGGCCAAGTTTGCCCCGGACAAGCTGAAGAGCACATTGCAGAGGTCGACCCGGAACCAGGGAGAGCTGAAAGCCGGTGGCGACGCGGCATCGAAGAAGCCGACCGCCACGGCCGCAGCGATGGCCGCGGCGGGAACTACTGCGACCGCGGTGCCGGTCAAGAAGAGCCGGTTCAGGGTGCAGCACGTTCAGATTGACGACCAACCGTCAGTGATGGTGTCCTCGGCCAAACGGTCCCCGAAACCGCCGCTGTCGTCGTCCAGCGGCAGCAGCGACACGGACAGCGACCGGCTGCCGGCCGGCCTTCCCATGATCGAGAGCAACCTCAACGAGCTGACGATGGTCGAGTCTCAGCTGAAGAAGCTGGAGAGGGAGCACGAGGCCAAGCACCAGCTACTGACACCCAAGAACGACTGCGCGGCAGAAAAGTCGGGGTCGACGGCCGACGATGGTGGCCACAAACAGCAGCACCAGCAGCAGCGGGGCGTCGGTGGCGTTGGTAGCGGCACCGGCGGCGGTGACGGCAAAAAAGACAAGGCGGCCGCCCCAAAGGTGGGCTCCAGGGCCGCGGAAACGCACTCTAAGCGATTGGGCTGGCTGAAGGCGTTCCGACGCAAGTCATCAGCCGACACGAGTTCGGACACGGCCGCCGCCGCCCCCAACCCGCCGGCCGCACAACAGTCGGCCAAGCCGGCCAAACACAAGCAGCAAGCGGCCGCGGCCAAATCGTCTGCCGCCGGTAGACAGTCGTCGTCACCCAGACAACAACAGAAACAACGCGCATCCTCGACCGCCGGCGCCAACAGGCCGAGGCAACAACAGCGAGCTTCGGCAGGGCCGTCCACCGCCACAACGGTAAGCGACATGACAAATATTGGCGCGACAAAAAATAATTGGTTTTTTGATTTGGTTTTTGTGCGCGCGTGTGTGTGGATAATTATCGATGTATATATTTTTTAATTCGATAAAGACCCAAATGCCGCAGCTTTCATCATCCCCTTGCGTGTTTCTCCGATATCAAAAACGTGACACGATAGTTCTGGGGGCGGCTCGACCGTCGGTCGTTGGTAGCGAACGGCACACGCAAAAATTAGACGTACGCCGCTGCCGCCAATATTGCGCAACTGCACGTTTTGATTACAAGTAATGCGATTTACGACGGTTCGTTAAGCCTTTGCCACCATCCTTCTCCGCCCCGTCATGGCGGTTCAGAGCTCCGTCGTAGGCTTGGATCGACGTGCAATGTCGATGCGCTGGGTGGTGGGCGAGGGCGGCCGTCTAGTGCTGGTCTTATTAATTATTATCGCATCGAGTGGCGACGGCGTCCAGATAACGAATGAATATTATTGTCATTTGTCGTAGTTTTGTACTTTTGTGTATCTTGTTTTTCCCCTCTTATCGTTCGCTCGTGTAAATAATAGATAATAATAAATATAACGGATTACTATCCGCTTTGTTAAACTGTTTGTCACACGACAACACGGGACGGACTTGTGGTACATTTCGAAATCGGTCTCGAGTGATGTTGTTCTCGTCGGGGAACTTGAAAAAATAAATACGGAAACCGAGTGAGCACTGTGTGTGGTACCTAAGGTAAACAGCGTTTGTGCGTGTGGCGTTAAACGTGCCCGCGTACTAATCGCCTCCCAACGGTAATATATTTGTTGACCTTTATAAACGAGAATCTAGGCAATAACTGATAATATTTCTAAAAAAAATATATTAATATGTTTTTACGGTAAACATATTACTATTGTGGACGTTAGCATTCGGCGGCAAGATAACGCGTAAAACGTTACATAGCTCTAAACTAATATCGCTGTTTTTGCTATCGTTAGTCGTTGGTGAAACATTTTCTAGTCACCCGTTTTATCCACACTATTTAAAAATTATTTTATCCGCCGTAGTGGTTTATACACACGTATGTGTGGAAATCTCGATTTTTCGCTTTGGCCGTCCCAAATGTTTTGACGGGCACCGAACGAACAAACACAACACGTGTTAACCGCTAGCAACGAATATAATATTGTTATTTATCTTAATCTGATGAGTTCTGGCACCAGAGAAGAAGTTGGATTGATTTTTATTTGTACATAAGACTCGTGTGTTGTTTTGTGGCGAGAGCCTGCGCGTGTGTGCGTGTGTGAGCTATGCCGGCTACCAAGGTGTGTGTGTGTGTTAGTAGTTTGTACACTGGCCTGTGCCCATATTGATTATGTAAAATCGTAATAATAACATACTTATTACTTACACCACACGCATAACATGTGCGTGCGTGCGTCCACGTGTGTGTGTGTGTGTGTGTGTGTGTGTGTGTGTATACATTCTCTTGGCGTTGCCAACCAATGTCTCGTATCTAGTAGTGCACGTAAATATTATAATATCATATTTTTCTCTTGCCGATTATTATTAGTATAAATTATTATTATTACTTTTACGAAGCATGATGATTAATTATCGTTGTCGCGAAACGTTTTTCAAGAAACGATAGCCGTCACCTTTGCCATACAATGCACCGCTGAATTAGTCACGACCGTTTTTTTGCCCCTAAAATGTTGTTTAAAAACTATTTCTAGAAATCGCCACGGTCGTCGTCGCACCTGCGTGTTGCGTGCGCGCGCTACCGAGATTTTTGCTGCGTCCGTAATCGTCGCGGTGACGCGCGTCGTCTCGTAATCTTGTGTGCGCTGTACGCGCCGCGCTCCGATTATAGGTAAAACTGGGATACCATGATTGCGTTTGGCAATCGGAAAGGGGAGTAGAAGTTTTTATTTTTGGCACACATCGACACAACTATAATAATATTATAATATTACACACTCGGGTCGTACGTACGCGGGCGCGTCGCTGACCACCGCGCAACCACGACGACGGCGGCGGTGGCGTTTTTGTATTTCTCCGCCTCGACTACGACGACGACGACAATATTAATATATTCGACGACACGGGCACTGCACACTACATAACAATATTAATATAATATAATATATCATAGTTTCAGCCAAGTTGCGGAATCATGTTTTAAAGGTCCCTAATGTCATTACGGGTTTGTGCCCGGCCGACGACAACGACAACGACGTTTGACGCGCGCGGTCGGTCGCCTTTCAATCAAAAGCACTCATCGTTCGTCTTTCCGCCCGCGCAACGTCGTTGTCATTTTATATACTCGCGAGACGCACAAAGCAACGGCTGTTCTTTTTTTTGTATTGCTCATCCGAAACACACGCTCAATTTAAATTACATTTAGCCCTTACTCAAAGGTTGCCGGCGGCGGCTTGTTGAGTCATCGACACGCGAAAACACGTTAGGTGAACTGCAATAATATTAGTAGGCCAGTGCAGTAGAAATGTTGCAATGCGCTCGTCGTACGTACGTACGTATGCACTACATAATAAATAATAATAATAATTGTATTATATTATACGATTTCTGCTGCGTTGATCATTATTATTTTTTACGTTCAAACTATTGTCTGTTGTCGCCGTTGTCCGGCAAGGTCGCGCCGTCGTCGCGGCAGCCACGCATCGTAAAAATACGAAAACATTATGATAATAACGATTTGAATAATATTAAAACTGACTAAACTGCGCCTTGCTGAGCGCCGGAGACGTTTTTCGATGCGTGTGCTCCCATAGCTATAACTTTTTACTCTACCAACGATTTGGACTACGGGGGTCATAGTAATAATTATAATAATATCACGTGTGCGAGTGTGTATTGACAGAGGGCGTGAGTGGGGAATTTGCGTGGTCCTCTAATCTGGTCTGGGCAAATGCATTGGTTTTTCTCTAAAATACTCTTTTTATACGACGTTGTAGTGTTGTGCGACAATGCGCAGCGTGCGACCGGTTTTTGGGCGGCGGGAATTATTAACGACTTGACTGGTTTTCGTGTATTGAGTGTGTGAGTATATTATAATATTATTACATCACGCATTAAAATATTTTCGCGTGCGGTCGTCTTTCGTCCGTTTAACTTATAATAATGGTTTTTTTTTTAAATATCTTTGATTTCCGCCTTGAACGTCGCAGGTACAACACGATTTAATATTATTGTAAACGAAAGGATAATGTTATGTTCGTCACCGTTGCACGGCCGCATCGTCTTGCGTGGCCTTTAAATTTTTGTCGTTTCAAAGCTGGACAAAAACATTAATAATATAACGTGCAATACTGCTATTAGTCCGGGAAAGAATGATAGCAGCGTCATTTTTATTAACACGCGCGGTGTTGCGACACATTTGTTTGATTAATAAAATTCAACTAAAAAAAAAACAAAACATTTTAACATTATTATGTCATCCCCTTTTTAGTTTCTCATAAACGTCGTGCACTCGATTTTATTCTCGCAGACCTTTTAATTTATTTTTTATTTTTATTTCTTTCAAGTATCATTATACATTACTCTGTTAATATGCCGTGTACAAGTATAATATTATATGGTAAATGGTTGCGACTCGGCATTATTGGAATGTGCAATAATAATTTTTCTTTTTTTTACATTTGAATATTCTTATTTCTTATTGCGTACGGTTGAAAACGGTATTAAAATAAAAACTGTATGCTCCGTCTGGCTATTATATTGTACCATCGCGATGGAAATAATTCAGAGTTGTATATTACTTTTTACTCCTTTAGATTCGCTGAATAATGTAAAAAATAAAATTATGGTCATATTCTTTAAATAGATACAGGTATATACAATTATATGGGTAGTCTGTTGCAAGTTTTGACCTCGTAAAAAAACTTTTTATACCCAGATTTACCTTTTCATAATGCGCAATTTATAATTAATATTGATTATTTGAAAATAAATTAACAGTTTCAATTTAACGTTTTAAAAGTATTTAATTTTAATACATAGCCACATAGGTGCATATTATATTATTTTATAAAATGTTCTAAATCGTAACTTTCATTATAATATATTGAACAAGATCAAAATAAGTATTAAACACAGAATATGGCGTCTGACAATATATTTTTCCAAGCCATATGGTTTATGTTTTTAATGTTATATTTTGTAATTTAAGCTACGTATAATTATCTCAGTAAATCGGTTATAAATTTAACTAATCGAATACTGTGCTAAGGAATTACCTAAAGTACTTGTAAATTTACTTTTTATTTAAAAGTATTATGTGTTCGACATAATTAATTGACATGTTGGGACTACTAATATTGATTATCATAATTTTCAACACATTAAACAGCTAAATAAAAAACCGATTTTTTAATACAACCACTCATAGTTCAGGGTCAATTAATGTTATCGAATATAACGTGGTGTCAACATAATATATTATGTGCAAAGTGCACATTTATTTTGCTAGACGGTTATACATTTGATAAATTTTATATGGTTTTACTGCATTGTTATTAGCTTAGTTACTTGCCCCTCGTTGTATACAATTTGGGAATAACGATAATTCAAATTCAAATTTAATCAAACAGAAAACGTATCGATTTCTACTAATGTAAAGAGGATTTTAGAAATTAAAAGTGATTATATTATAAAGGATTAAACCAAATTAGTTTAGCATATAAATGACCAGCTTGACGGGTAAAGGCATGCATTTACATAAATAAGAAGGACGATTTTCAAAAATTATTTAATTATAATTATAACGATCCCACTGTGTACGTATTATAATAGTTTTCTAATTTAAGTCGACGAGTGTGTTGGTGCGTGATCGAGTGAAACCTGTGAAATATCTTAGGAAAGCAAACGTCTAAAAATATCAATCAATTAATGCACACAGACACAGTATCATTGAGTATAAAGGAGACCGCTAGTTTGATTAAAACTCCTCAAAACCGTTTTGATAGCTTATTTGTTACCTAACTGCCAAACAG